CGACGTCGCGCGCGCGACGCGGCGGCGGCCGTCACAGGGCGACGCGGACGCCGACGAGGACGCGAACGACGGTGGAGCGCGTGAAGCCGTGCGCGCGAACGTCCTCGGTGAGTGCGCCGAGGGCGACGGTGAGGAATCCGCCGGCGCAGAAGGCTTCGACGGCGGCGGAGACGGCGGCGGCGGAGACGCCGACGACGGGTGAGGAGGCGCCGACGCAGGCGAGGAAGATGAAGGTGAGCGCGGTGGCGACGACGGCGACGAGGGCGCTGAGGAGATTGAAACCCAGAGCTTGGATGTCGGTGAAGCCGGCGTGGCGCAGGACGCCGTAATCGCCAATCTCTTGCGGGAGCTCGTGAAGGAGCGCGGCGCGGGCGGTGGCCCAGCCGGCGGCACGGCCTCTGCGCGCGAACGCCACGGCGATGATGACGCCGTCGGTGAGGTTGTGCACGGCGTCGGCGAAGAGATTGAGCCATCCACTCGTCGCGATGTCGCGCGCGGTCAAAGCGTCGGCGATTGCCGTCATCGCCGAGCCGCGCTTCGCGCGCGCGGTCGATCGACTCCGCGACGGCCCGCGAGACGCGTCGCGCGAGACGCCCCGCCCCGCCCTGGTCCGCGTTCCCCGCGTCGCGTTCGCCGACGCCTTCATCTCTAAAATCAGACTTTCGAGTCCCTGAAACGCCAGAACGCCGACCACGCACCACATCGCCGCCGCGCGCGCGTCGCCGCCCGCCAACGCGCTCGGTAGTTGGTGCCCCAGGGCGTCCCCTAACATCGCCCCGTTCGCCAGATCGCTCAGCGCTCGCGCGCTCGCCTCGACACCGGTGACGAATCGCGCCGCGATGCACGCGCACGCGGCGAGAGAGGCCAGGGAGACGATCGTCGACGCCAACACCGCGCGCGCCGCGTCGCCGCCCGTCCAGTCAGCGCCGTGATCATGATGATCGCTCTCGTGATGTCCGTGATGCCCGTGCGCGATCGCGACGTCGACGAGGGCGAGCACCAGCGCGTACGTCACGACGTGCGCCCACGCGCGAGCGATCGGGCGTCGTGGGCGTCGGTGCATGTCGACACAGCGCGCGTCACTCTGTGACGCTTCGACGCTTCGACGTCCCATGAGCTCTCTCGTCGCGCTCCTCTGCGCCTTGTTCGCTATGAACGTCGCGTTGTGGATCACGCGTAATCTCACGCGTCCGCTGTCGAAAAATCGCGACGAACGGCGAGGTGTGAAGACGCTCGTCGTCCTCGGAAGCGGTGGACACACGAGCGAGATGTTTTCAATCCTTCGTCGACTCCCGCTCGACGTCTACGCGCCGAGGACGTACGCGATCGCGCGCACGGATTCGCAGTCGGCGAATAAAGCGCTGAGCTTCGAGCGCGAGGTCGGGGGGTCGAGAGCGCGGGCGAGGATTGAAATCATCTCGAGAGCGCGAGAGGTGGGGCAGGGATGGACGTCGAGCGCGGCGACGAGTTTGGTAGCTTTAGTGGACGCCGTGAGCTTGGTGTGGCGCGAGCGACCGGATGTGGTGATGTGTAATGGACCCGGAACGTGCGTTCCGGTCGTGTTGGCGTCGATGGCGATGCGAGGGGTGGGATTCGAGACGCCGGCGACGGTGTTCGTGGAGAGCGCGTGCCGGACGCGCGCGCTGAGCTTGACGGGGAAGATTTTTTATCACGCGCGGTGCGTCGACGCGACGTACGTGATGTGGGAACGCTTGAGTGAGTTATATCCGAGGGCGACATTCGTCGGACGGTGCGTGTGAACTTCGTCGTGGACGCGTTGTAGTGTTAGTAATACTGAATTACGCCGGCGTGACAAAGCCCGCCGTCCCGCTCGCGCGCGACGTCACACCTCGTCGCATCGTTCGCCGAGCGCGCGTGCGGACACGGACACGACCCGTGTCTCGACGCCGTCTTCGTCTTTAACGCGTGACGCTCCTCGAAAGCGTCGTGAAGCGTCCCAGAGAACCCGCCGTCGTCATGTCCCCGAGTCATGAAGTCTCGCGCCAACCGAACCAACGCCTGACGCGGTCGTCCATGCCGCTCATGCTCTTCTACTGCACCGAGGTGCGATCGTTTCGATGCGATTTTGAACGCGCGCGCGTGGGCGAATCCGACGGAAGATGGATGAGCGCGACGCGGCGGTTGGGTTTGAACGTGGAGCGGAACGACTGACGCGGTCGATTAATTCTCGCCTCGGTGATAGATGGAGGGCATGGCGCGCGAAATCGCGGCGATCGATGGAAGCGTCGAGCTCGGGGAGATTCAGTGGCGCACGTTCGCCGATGGATTCCCGAACATTTTCGTCAAGAACGTGGAGCAGGTGCACGGGAGACACGTGGCGTTTTTGGCCTCATTTCACAACGCGTCGGTCATTTTTCAGCAGTTGAGCGTTATTTACTCGCTTCCGAAGATGTTTGTCGCCTCTTTTAGGTTGATCTTGCCGTTTTTCCCCACCGGGACGTTCGAGCGTGTGGATAAGGAGGGAGAGATTCCTACGGCGGTGACCATGGCGCGCATGCTGAGCAGCATTCCGCACTCCCGAGGCGGACCTACGGATATGATTGTGTACGACATTCACGCCCTGCAGGAGCGATTTTACTTCGGTGACTCCGTCACCCCGCTCTTTGCCTCTGGCATTCCGCTCCTGCTGGAGCAATTAGCTACATTAGAGGACGCGAAAGACGTCGTCATCGCCTATCCGGACGAGGGCGCGTGCAAGCGCTTCCACAACTTCTTCACTCAGTATGAAGAAGTCGTGTGCACGAAGGTTCGCGAGGGCGACAAGCGCATCGTCACCATCAAGGAGGGCGTTCCCGCGGGTAAGCATGTCGTCATCGTGGACGATCTCGTCCAGTCCGGGGGTACCCTGATCGAGTGCGCCAAGGTGCTTCGAAGAGAGGGCGCGAAAGCCGTGAGCGCCTACGTCACCCACGGCGTCTTCCCCAACGAATCCTGGCGTCGATTCACCGATCCCGCCGCGGACTTCGCCAACTTTTGGATCACAGACTCCTGTCCGCAGACCGTCTCGGGGTGCCAGGGCACGAAACCGTTCGTCGTCCTCAAGCTCGCCGCGAGCATCTGCGCCGCCTTGAACATTTGATGACACGAATGACAGGCGAAATACAAAATACAACGCGTCGTCCATCATCTCTCCATGCTCGCGCGCGAGATCACTCCCGATGACCCTAACCGGCGCGAGCGCACTCATCGCTCGCGCCGGACGCGCGCGAGCCGCGCGCACCGCGCGCGATCGTCGCCGCGCGCTCGCTACCCGACGCGTCTCACAAAAAGTACAAAACGATGACGTGGGCGTCCCGAGCGCTTCGTCGTCCGACCCCGACGTTCGCGGCGCCGTGTGGCTGGCGCGTTCGCACGATTTACGAATGCGAGACAACGAAGCTTTCATCAGCGCGTGCGCGGAGGCGAGAGCGGTCGGTGGGGTCGTCGCGTGCGTGTTCGCGTGGAGCGAGCGGGACGCGCGAGAGAGCGGAGGCGCGCGGCGGGCCTGGTTGGCGAAAGCGCTCGAGGCGTTGGATCGGGATTTGCGTCGAACGTACGGGGGTGGGGTATCGATGTTTAAGGGTGAGGGGGCGGAGGGGGCGATGCGGGCGGCGAGGGCGATCCGGGCGACGCGAGTGTTCGCGTCCAAGCGGTACGAGCCGGAGAACGCCGAGGCGGACGAGCGCGCCTCGGTCGAGATGGCCGTACGTGGGGTCGAGCTCGTGCGCACGCGAGGATTTTTATTGTTTGAGCCGAGTGAAGTTCGCATCGACGTCGCGGCAAGGGATGGATACTTTGGAACGTTGATGCCGTTCGTGCACGCTGCGGAGCGCACGTGCGGCGATCCGGGCAAGCCTAAACCAGCCCCCGTAGACGTTCGCATGGTGGACTTGGGGACGGAGAGCGACCACGAGTGGGAGCAAATAGGTTTAGAAGATCTAGGCGTAGCACCGGCGTCTGACCGACGCGTAGATTGGTCGGCAGGGATCCGCGCGGATTGGGACATCTCCGAAGGCGGCGCCGTGGAGACCTGGTCTCAATTCACCGCGGTCGGATTGGATAGATTCGAGGCCGAGCACGGGCGAGCGGATCCAGAAGCAGGGGTGACTGTGTCGCGGCTGTCGCCGTATCTTCGATTCGGCATGATCAGCCCGAGGACGGTTTATCACGACTTGGTGAAGAAGGATGGGAAGAATATCAGCAAGACCTTTTGGCACCGTCTCTATCGCCGAGAGCTGGCGTACTGGCAGTTGCATCACTGGCCCGATCTTCCAAAAACGTCGGTACGATCGCACTACGAAAACAGGGCGTGGTTGAGCGGCGATGAGGCCGACGAGGCGCTTCGTCGTTGGCAACGAGGCGAGACGGGATTTCCAGTCGTCGATTGCGGGATGCGTCGTCTGTGGCGGACGGGGTGGATGCACCAGACGGAGCGCATGATCACGGCGACCTTTCTCGTAGATTACCTCGGCGTGCACTGGACGCGTGGCGCGGATTGGTTCATGCGCACGCTCGTCGACGCCGATGAGGCCATCAACTCGATGATGTGGCAAAACGCGGGCAAGAGCGGACTCGATCAGTGGGACTTTTTCGAGGGTACGCTCGCCCCAGACGGTTCCGCGCGCGCGCACGATCCTCATGGCGACGCCATCGCGCGCTGGATCCCCGAGCTCGCGGCATTACCGCGCGGTTATCTCCGGCATCGGCCGTGGGAGGCGTCCAAGGCGACGCTCGCCGAGTGCGACGTCGAGCTCGGTTCGACGTATCCCCGTCGCATGATCGTCGATCTCGATCGGGCGCGTCAGCGCATGCTCGACGATGTCACCACGATACGACACGCCGAGCTCGTGCGAGCGGGCGGTCTGGTGAAACCCGGCTCGATGGAGGACCTCGTCGTCGCGCCGCGCGCCGCCGTCGTCCGAGGCGCCGCCGACCTCGCGCGCGTCTCCACCAGAAAAGAGTTCAAGCGCAGCCTCAAGGCGCTCAAGGCGTCCATCGCGGGCATCGACCTTCCTTCGAACCCGTCGTCGAAGCCCCACGGGAAATCACGCGCGAACGCGTCTCGGCCCAAGGTCTCCGCCGCGTCTCGGCCCAAATCCGGGCCCCGTTCCGGGCGCCTTCCCGCCCCCGATCGCGACGCCGTGCGCGCGAGCCGCCGCGAGGCCAAGCGCCTCGACGCCGCCTTCAGAGGTCGAGTGTTCCATCATCTCCCCGTCGACGACCTCGACGACCGCGACGCCGCGCCGCCGCGCGTCGGTCGTCGCCCCGCGCGTTGAACCCGCGGCCCGTCACCATGAGTCTCACCGATGAACACACGGACCGTCACCATGAGTCTCACGAAATACCACGCGGACCGTCACCATGAGTCTCACGAAATACCACGCGGACCCAAAACACCACCCTCGATCGAATCCCGCACCGAATCCTCGCATGGCGCACGTAAAAGTACACACATGGACACAAATCGCGCGTAATACGACGACGCCGCCGACGACGACGACGACGACGACGCGCGAACGTCCCGCGCGCCAAAGCTCGATGGTTGCCCACGCGAAGACCACCGCGTTCGCCACCGGTGCCGCGCTCGCGCGGTCGACGCCGACGACGCGTCGCGCGAGGTACGATCGCTCGCGATGACGATGCGCGCGCGCGCGAGACGATGGACGCCGCGGAAGGGATTTCAACGCGATGGTGGATCGAATCGTATCCGGATCCGAGGGATGATTCCGAGGGTCGAACGCGCGTCGTGGACGCGGTGGGAGACGCGTCGACGCGTGGTCGAGGTCGGGGTCGGTCGGGGTTGGGATGTGGCGGCCGTGGATGTGAGATGGGGGACGGCGGTGGGGGTGGGGGGGGGCGGGCGATCGCGGCGGACGACGCGGGGTCGCGCGGGGGGGGAGACGACTGACGACGCGCGTGCCGGTGATGACGCAGGGCGACGGTGATGACGCGCGCGAAGTATGGTGATGAGTCCGTGTACTTTGATTTGTCCGACGTCGAGGCGACGACGGGGTCTTGGGACGTCTACGGCGTCGACTCCGCGAGCCGATACCCGGAACAGCAGGCGGCGTTCTTCGAAGCCGCGGCGCAAGGCTTGGGCCGACGCGAGGCGGTGTACTCCGTCTTGGCCGTCTCTGCGGGTTTGTTGACCGTGGCGTACGGCGTGAAGGGTGCGAAGGACGCGAAGCTTCCGATCACCGTGGGCCCGCAACAGCCGGCTCAAGTCGGCCCGCGCGACCGCATCTAAGCGCCTTCTTTGAAAGAAAACCGCGGAAACTCGCGGTCGAGGAGGTGTAGTGCGTGCGTTGTGATGGATAACGACCTATGATGCACTTATATATATACGCGCGATTATATTCGACGATGACGCGACGACGGTGGTGGCTAGAGCTCATCCGCCCGGCGCGAGGGTCGGGCGCGCCGCGCGAGCGTCCGAGCGAGTCTCGCCACCTCCGAGCCGTACTCGTCTTCCTCGCTCGCGAAGCGCTCGGCGATGGACGTGAACCGCGCGCTCGAGGAGTTGATCACATCGACCGCGACGCCGAATCCGCGATCACGCGCCGCGATGAGACAGATCAAGGATTTCTCGACGACATCCGCGGATGCGCGCGCGTCCGCGGCGCGCTCCACGACGTCGGCGATCAATCTCTTCCCCACTGTCTCGTCCCTGAAGACCTCCTCGGCGACGCCGTCGATGTGTAGGAGATCGCCCAGAAGCGCCATGCCTCGTGTGCGCATCTTCGCGGGCGTGTCGTCGGATAAGACGTCGGCCAACACTCGAGCGCCGCCCGACGCAAAAAATTTCTCCCTCGACGGTTCGTGCGTGCGAAGGCACATCCCGAGCACCCAGAGCGATTTATGCCGCGTCTTTCCCGGGGTCGACTTTGAAGACACGAGTTTCAACAAAAGGTCCACCCCACCTCGATCGTAGATGATTCCTTGAACCATGACGTTGTTCGACGCGGCGCTCGCGAGGGCGCTCGCCGCGCCGCTTGCGACGTCCTCGTCCGGATCCCCGAGCGCGGAAACCAGCGCTTCCGCGACGCCGAGCTTATCGAGATCGTTCGCTACGTCAATGGGAGCCACTAAATCGTACAAGATCGACAGCGCCGCCACTCTCCGCTCCTTGGTCTCGTTCTTCGCCGCCGCTACGGCGCCGCACTCCCGAGCGTACGCGTGCGTCGACGGTCCCGATTTGATCACGTCCAGCGCCTCCCGCACGTCCGCCCGCTTCTTATCGATCTCCTCTTTCGTCATGGGTTTCTTCGGAAACACCTTTTCGATCTTTCGTCCGCCATCATCGATCGCCTCGGTCTTTTCCCCTCCGCGTCCGCGCGCTCGCGCGAGCGCCGCCTCGGCTCTCTCCGCGAACGTCCCCTTCCCACCTCTCCCCTCTCCGTCCCCCGACGCTTCCCGCGCCATCTCACCCAAGCGTTCCAAATCGCTATTCTCGATCGACCACCTGAACAACTCGCTCAGCGTCGCTTCGTCGACGTCGCTCAGGCGCTCGCGCGCCGTCGCCGCCGAATCCATCCCCGAGCTCTCCGTCCCCTCTCTCACCTCCCCCTCTCCTCGCGTCCCGATCACGAGCGCGAGAGCGATCACGGTGGGTATCATCAACCGTCTCAGACCCCCTCGCGCGCGTCTTCGTCGCCGCGTCGACGTCTCGAAGCGCCACTTTGCGACTCCAGAGCATTCATCCTCGCTCGCTCGCATGTCGCTCCGTCGCCGCGCGCTCGACCTCACCGTCCTCGTCCTCGCCGGCGCCGTCGTCGTCGACCGCGTGGGCGCGCCCGAGGTCGTGGAGCGCGTCGACGACGACGGCGCCGTCGAACGCGTCGTGGTCTGGAGAGACGCGCGGGCGCAGCGCATTGGAAAAATCTCTCCGGGAGACGTCGTGACCCTGCGACGGCCGCACGGGGCGGACCGAGGGACGGTGACGGTGCAAGTCGTCGAGGCGTCGTGGCGGCCGAGCGAACGGGGCGAAGGAGGGATGGATTTGGGGGGACGGTGCGCGTTGGGCGGCGCGTCCCGATGGCGGGCGCGAGGCGACGACGGGCGCGCGGTCGGCGTGGTCCCGATGGGCGCGGTGAGAGGAGTGCTGCGGTACGTTTTGTGGCCTCCGGGGGCGATGGGAACGATCGAGCGCGAGGGTGAGTGGGAGGAGGAGGTCTAGTCTAGGCGTTGTTACACGCGCGGCGAATACATAGCTCGCGGCGCGTCGAATCGTTCCGGAAGCGACGACGGCTCGTTCTAAAAGCGTGCCGTCACCGGATTGGGGAAGCGGTTGACCACTAAGTCGAGGTTGAAATCCGCTCGACCTCGAGCGCCGTCGACGCGCATTCCGGCGTACTTCAACTCGCTCCCGTCGAGCTCGACGACTAAACGCTCGAAGAACGTCTCGAGCTCGCGCTCGAGCGCCCGCGCGGTCTCCTCGTCGCTCGTCGACCCGTTCGCGCTCGCACACCGCATCGTGATCTCGTTATTATCTCGAGCCTCGAGCTCACATCGCCACCTTTCGCGCCTCCACGACGCGACGAACGCGAGCCGCCCGTCCGTCGTCACCGAGGCGCTCGTCCCACCCTCGAACGTCAATCCATCCGTCCCAACCTTTCGCACGTACGCTTTGAACACGTCGTGGGTCAAGAAATTCCCCCAATCCACCGAATCGAACGTCAATCGCGCCCTCCCGCTCGCCGGTCGCTTGAACACGATTCCGCGCAGCGCCAAAACCGCGCCCGGGTCCACTTCGCACGCCCCGACCTCCAACGTAATCTCTCGACACGTCAACCGCTTCGGCGACGCCCATGACGTACCGGAGATCTTCGCTCCGCGTACGCTCCCGCTCAGCACCTCCGCGAGCGCGCCATCGACGCGCACGTTGACTTTTTCTCGCTCGCGTAAGATGACGAACAGCGCGCTCTCGGCGAGTTTTTCAATCGCCGCGATCGGATCGAACGCGATCGAGGCCAGGTCGAGGGGTGTGGTGAATATCCGAGGGATCGGATGTCGTCGGTCGGTGGTTCGGCGACGGATGGAGGTGGGTTTGAGGGGTCGGGGACGGGCGAGCGCGCGCATGGCGCGTCGCGGTGTGCAGACAAAGCGCGTCCAACAGTGGGGGAGGCTTGGACGGTGGATTACTTGACTACGTCGTTACTGAATACTCACAACAAATTTGTTCTACCGACTATTCCGTCGGACGGCGAATTGTGCCGTCTGGACCAAAAATTTGAACGTCTCGATCGTCGACGAATTCCTCTATGGTATCGCTCGGCGAAACAGAAACTCCGCCGAGCGCGCGTCACTCACGCATGGCCTCGTGATCACGAGACACTTAGAGCGGGACAACCTTTTCCCAGGTGAAGACATCGGTGTCGTCACGGCCGAAGTGACCGTACGCCGCGGTGGTTTGGTAGCGCTTGTTGCCGCCTCGCTTGAGGTCGAGGGACTTGCCAATCATACCCGCACGGAAGTCGAACTTCTCCTTAACCTTTTCGAGGATTTCGGAGTCCGGAATCTTGCCGGAACCGTAGGTATCGACGTGGATAGACAACGGTTGAGCGACGCCGATGGCGTAGGAGATTTGGAACAACGCGCGGCGCGCGAGGCCGGCGGCAACGATGGACTTGGCCACTTGGCGGGCGATGTACGCGCCAGAGCGATCGACCTTGGTCGGGTCCTTACCAGAGAAGGCGCCGCCACCGTGGGCACCCCAGCCACCGTAAGTGTCGATGATAATCTTACGACCGGTCAAACCGGCGTCGCCATCCGGACCACCGATGACGAATCGGCCGGACGGGTTCAAGTGGAAGATGGTGTCGGCATCGAGGTACTTCTCCGGGACAACCTTCTTGATGACTTCATTCATCAAGTCCTCCGCAATCTTTTCGTTGGACACACCCTCGATGTGTTGAGTGGAGATCAAGATGGTGTGCACACGCTTCGGGATCATGGCACCACCCTCGTTTTCGTACTCGATGGTGACTTGGGTCTTACCATCCGGAAGCACCCACGGGCACGTGCCATCCTTGCGGACGACGGTGAGGCGGTGGCCAAGCTTGGTCGCCAAAACGTGCGTGAGCGGCATCAATTCCGGAGTTTCGTCCGTGGCGTAGCCGAACATGTGACCTTGGTCACCGGCACCGATCTCCTCGAGGGACTTGGTACCCATACCGTGCACACCTTGACCGATGTCCGGGGACTGGTCGTGGAGCTCGACGAGCACGCGGCAGTTGTTACCATCGAGACCCGTCTCGTTGGAGATGAAACCGACGTCGCGGCACACCTGACGGACGACGGCTTCGTAGTCAACCTTCGCCTTGGTGGTAATCTCACCGAAGACCATCACCATGTTGGTCTTCGTCGCGGTCTCGCACGCGACCTTGGAATCAGGGTCTTGCTCGAGGCACGCGTCCAAAATGCCGTCGGAGATTTGATCCGCGAGCTTATCCGGGTGTCCTTCGTTCACAGATTCGGAGGTGAAAAGAAATCCCATTTTTAACTGTTTAGTGGAGTTGTTGTTGTGCGGCTACCTGCGTCGATCGAAGTCGAAACAATCGTCAGTCTTTGATCCAAAGTCGATTTTATTCCCTTTGGCGGGAAAACCATTCGACGAGATGCCGAAACTCGCCCTTTTCGAAACATCTTCATCATCGCGTAATCAACCCGTCGCCACGCCCTCGTTCAGCGCGTTCTCACCCGAAACCCACGACGACGTCGAGTGAGAATTCCTCTCTTTCACATCATCCAACCTCGGCGTCCGCTCGCCCATCGCCCGCGTCCCGAGACGTCCACGAAGCACCCCGTCCGCCGCCGCGGACGATCGCTCCGGACGGCGGATCTCCCGCTCTTATCCGCGCGCGCGTCGTCCCCCATCCTCGCCCACGCGCAGACGACGACGTGATGTCGATAAAATATATAACACCCATCGCGCACCGCGCGCGACGTACCTTGCGTGAGATCACGGAGCGATCGCGCGACGTAAAGTGCAGATCTCCCGTCGACGCGCCGCGCCCGAGCGCCGGGGCGCGCGCGGGGTGGTGCGGAGATGTCGAGTCCGGACCCCGTCGAGCTCCAATTCACCCGTAATAGTTGCGATACCATGTCCACTGTGGCGGGGCCGGAAAGTTAGCGGCTTCGAAGCATCATAATGATCGCCTATTCGCGCGCACGATATCGAGCGCGCGCGCACGCATTCGTGCCCGAGCGGTTAAGGGGATCGACTAGAAATCGATTGCGAAATTCGCGCGTAGGTTCAAGTCCTACCGAATGCGTTTCTTTTTGCCTAGACTGGACGTCCCGTCGCGCGCTGGGACGACCCTTTTGATGGATGTGATTGCGATTGCGTGCGGGATTACAAACATTCGTGCGCGCGCGCGTCGTCGTCACCGTTTCTTCACGCGATACTCGATCACGACCGGGGGGGACGTCTTCCAGACTTGCGCGTGAATGCCCGCGAGCGTGCGCTCGAACGCGGTCCCGGTGATGACGACGCCAGCGCACACGAGCTCTATCGCGCTCGCGTCCCTCTTCACATTATGAGCGACATAATCGGTGATCTTCTGTGTGCCTAAAATCTTCGGTCCCATGACGGAGCTCGGGGTGACGTCCGCGACGTCGATCTCGTACTCGCTCGGATGGACATTCTTCGCGGGGACGAGGGTGAATGGAATCTTCGGTGACTCTGGCTCGGGAGCTTGATTGAGCGCATGGTCGACGAACCACTTGGGTAATGCTTCTCGCTCCTCGGGATTACCCACGAGATCGCTTGCCTTGACGCACACCCGTCCGTTGCCGCTGATCGGATGGGAGAAGAGTATGGACGACGAGCTCGGGAGTGGGTCGATGAACGCCCGCCGCTGCGTTCGCGTGCAACCGAATTTCTCGGCCCAGTCATCCATGAGAAGACGAATGATTTCGACGCCAAGATTTCTGCGTTCCTCGACGCTGGCGTTGGCTATTCCGAGATCTGTCGCGTATGCCTCTGCCTGAAACGCCGAGCTCGGCGCGAGCGTGATCTCGAGTGATCCGCTTCTCGCGTTGACAGTGAACCAAGATGGGATGCCAACGTTTGGATTCCACGTCTCGGATTGTAATAACTCGTCAAAGTCGGAACCTCCGGAGACACCGTCGAAATTCTGTACGATTCGTCCAGTCGCAACATCCCACAGGGAAATCGAACCCACAGAGTCTTGTGAAAGAATCTGTCTCTTGTTGTGCAGCACCGCGTGGCGAACGATCGGACTCGCACCATGGATCTCCATCGTGGGTGCGAGTTGCGTGGTTGACGCCATCGTCGAGGCGGCCGTCGTATCTCCCCAGTTGTCCATCTTCCTCGGCGTCCCTAGTCCGTGCCACTGTCCAGTACTCGGACTCGATCCAACTTCAAACCACACTCCAGGGTGCCGCGATAAGCTCGCCGTGGAGGACATCGTCGTCGACTTCATGTTGTGTTCATCGTTCGGAACGTTTGCAGACCAACGCTTCATCGAACGCGACGCCGTCGCGGTCCAGAGATCGCCGTCGGAGTGATTATTGCTATGCGTCTCGTCAAGACAAAGCTTAAGCACCGCGGCGGAGTCCGCGGCGATGAGGTTACTCCTCCTATCTCTCAAGGATGTAGAGCAGATGCGGGAATCGCTCCCACCCGAGTAAACGCGCGAGAACTCACTGTTCGCCGCGAGCGCCCAGATTGATCCAGTGTGCATCCCGGCGAACGTTTGCACGCAGCGCTGCTCACCAATATCCCAGAGTCGAATTGTTCTATCGCTTGACGCCGTCACGCACTTCCTCCCTGTCCCGTCGACGACGATCGCGCGCACGTTATCGGAGTGTCCCTTTAGCTTGCCTTGCTTTTGCGCGCTCCGCGTGTCCCACACGCGAAGTGCCAGCTCTGTGCCGCCCGACACCAAGACGTTTCCAGTCCCATCCATCGCGAGGGCGTAAATTGACTCCTTCGACCCGGTGAGTGGGGTGACGCACTGGTCGTTTTTCACGCTGAGATACGACGGTGAGATGTTGATCGCGCAACATCTCTCGATGTCCCATAAGAAAATCTCCCTGTTAAGCCCACCGGAGGCAAACTTGCCGACGTTCACTCCCTCGTCGGACGCTCTGGCCAACCCCATGACGTGATCGCTGTGTCCCTGGAGTACCGCCACGACGCTCCCACTCTCGCTCGTCGACGCTTCCTCAGCCGTTCGATCAGTTTTCCACAACCTCACCGTGTGATCGCTCGACGCACTCGCCAAGAGCGTCGGCGTCACGAGGGCAAGGTCAGTCACCCAGCCGCCGTGTCCCTCCCGAGTGGCGACGCACTTCGGCATCCCCATTGACAGATCCCACGTGCGAACCGTCCCATCTCTCCCACCGGTGTGCAGAACGTTCGTGTTCTCGATCTCAATCGCGTTCACTCCTCCCACGTGCTTCAAATCGTGCTCTCTGTGCGGCGCCGTGTATGTCACCGGCCTCCGCTGCCGTCTCACAACCTCAGCCGTGCTCATCCCTCGCTTCACCCCGAAGACGACGCGAACAGGTGACAAAAGTTATAACTCAGCGTCCAGAACAGCACAAACGTGGGTAACCCGGCCAGCGGTCCGTCGATGAAGATCTTATCGATGGACGCGAAATACGCGCTCGGCGTTCCGTCGCACTTCCACGACACGCACGCACCACTCACGACGAGCATGCACGCGAAATGGGCGAGAAATCCAGCGAATCCGGTGATACCGATCGCTCCGATTCCAATACCACTCGCGATGGAGGCGCTCGTAAACCTGAAGAGCGGGAAATCGTCGTCAGTGACCCGTTTTGGAACGTCTCATCTCACACGCACAGATTCGCAACCGCGAGCGTGTTCTTCTCCGCGGCCCGTCTATCGATCGGCGCGGTCGGGTTCGACGCCGACGATATTCCGCTTGGCATGTACCGAGCCCGACGCGTGCGTTCGAGAGCGCGCGTCGGTGTGTGCCGGAACGCGTCCAAAAACCGATCACTCAACTTTCACGCCAATCGCAAGAGTTCCCCCGCACACGCCCGCACCCTGGTCCAAGACCGCGATGGAGCCGTCGATACGGTGCGTCGTCGACGTCGTCCACGCCTCGCGCGCCCGCGGGTGCCTCAGTCTCGCCGGTGGGGGCACGAAGGCGCTGAGTTGGCTCGTCGGTGCGCCCGGATGCTCGAGAACTTTGATCGACGCGCGCGTCCCGTACGCTCGAGAGGCCACGGACGAGGCCGCGGGAAAGGGAGGATTGGGTACGACGTCGTACGCGTCCGTGGACGCCGCGACGGCGCTGGCGGAGGCGTCGTACGAGCGCGCGGTGCGGATGGGCGGGGCGAGCGGGCGGGACGCGCGGGCGACATTCGGCTTGGGCGCGGCGTGCGCGTTGACGAGCGAAGATGTGCGAGATATGCGGGGTGATCGGAGGTGCTTCGTGGTTACGAGAAGTGCGAGCAGGGCGGTGACGTACGAGATGCGGTTAGATCGGGAGAGCGGACGGACGCGGTTCGACGAGGAGGAGTGCGCGAGTCGCTTGGTCCTGCGCGCGTTGTTCGAGGAAGCGAGACGGTTCCCGGACGACGTTGAGGGGGATTCCGTGGGCGGACGCGAGAGGTTGGATGTCTCGCCCGACGCCGGGATGGATTTAGTTCGAGACGTACTGTCAACGAGCGAGATGGAGGGGCTCGTGGTGACGACGATGGAGGAGTCGGCGTACGAGTCCGGGACGACGCGGGACGTTCTCGAGCGGTGGTTACGAACGGCGTCCGATGACGATGGCTCGGAATCGATATTGGGACGACGGATACGCGGTGCGGAGATGTTAGAGTTCACGGGAGGTAGGCTTACCGCGGTGGGGGCTTCGCGAGCGAATGTCATCCTGAGTGGCTCCTTCAACCCGCTCCACGACGGCCATCGTGAGTTGCTCGCCGCCGCAATCGCGATGAAACCACTCGGTGCGATCGGAGCGTACGAAATTGGCGTCACGAACGCGGACAAGGGTACGCTCGCAGTGGACGAGATCGCCCGCAGACTGGAGCAGTTCTCCGACCCGGACTGCGTGTGTGTTCTCACCAAGACGCCCCTCTTCGTGGACAAGACTGGGGTCCTTCCTGGGACCACCTTCGTCGTCGGCGTCGACACTGCCATTCGTTTGCTCGACCCAAAGTATGCGGGTTCCCAAGAGGCCCTCTCCGACTCCCTCGAGCGCGTCCGGGACAACTCCTGCGACTTCGTCGTGGCCGGCCGCCTCGACCGCTCCACCGCCACTTTCGTTCCTCCGCACGACGTATTTGCCTCCGCACGCGCGTGCGGCGCCGCCTCTCTCTTCACCCCTATGAATGACTTCCGTGTTGACCTCTCGAGCACCGAGATCCGGGCGAAGACCACCCCTCGTTGACGCGACTGTGAACCAATAGGACGCCCGCTTCCTGGCACCCAATGTAAACAAAACTCGGGGTTGTCATATTGTGTAGACGTAAAGACATACACATACCCCTGACATGAAGTGGTGGCGTCACAAATGATAAAACCTCGGGCCTCCTAGGGCTTCGTCGACGTCAGCGCGTTCGTTCCGTTCGTGCTCCGGCGACGCGTCACACACGCGCGCCCGCACGCGGAGTTTCGTCCACGAAAACTCCTCGTCGTACGCACGTCAACGGTCGAGCGTGTACACACTCGAACGCGCCGTAATCGTTGAATCTCTCACTGAACTTTGACGAATCTCGCGACAATGTCGGTGACCTTGTCCGCCGTCTCCAACGCCGTCTCCCGAAGCGTTTCGCTGTCAAAGCGTAACGTCGTGGCGCAAAAGAAGTCCACCGTGGTCGTTCCGCGACGCACGTCCGTCGTCGTGCACGCCGAGGGCGATGACGACGGCGAATCTTCTTCCGATGAAAAGGCCCCTCGCGGACGCCGAGGCGGCCGAGGCGGCCGAGGCGGCCGCGGGAGCAGGGAAAAGGAGGACGACGGCATCGCCGAACAAGTCGTCCAGGTTTGCCGGGTCACGAAGGTCACGAAGGGTGGCTCGCAGATGAGCTTCCGGGCCACCGTCGTCGTCGGTGACGGCAAGGGCTTGGTCGGTGTCGGGTGCAAAAAGGCTAAGGAGGTTCAAGTGGCGGTGAGCAAAGCCGCGAGCGACGCTCGCAAGTCGGCTAAGCGTGCGCCGATCACGAAGGGGGACACGTTTCCGCACCGGGTGACGGTGAAGGGCAAAGGTGGCGCGGTGGTGATGCTGCGACCGGCGTCTCCGGGCACTGGGGTTATTGCCGGCGGCGCGTGCCGGACGGTTTTGGAGTTGGCTGGGTACAAGAACTGCTTCGCGAAGCAGCTCGGTAGCTCTAACCCGCTCAACAACGCGCGGGCTGTCGTTGCTGGGTTGAACGAGATGCGCACGTTCAAGGAAGTCGCGAAGATGCGCGACATGACCTTGGAGGAAATGTTCTCGGCGTAGGTGGGGTTCTGAAACGCAGCGAATCGCGCGTTCGATTTGCTCACCAGCGAGACCGCAGGATCGCTATAACGACCCATCATGCGTCAAGCAACGTGTATCGCCGCCGCTGATTATCATCGTAACAACCTTAGGAATTTAATCGATTACAACAAGAAGAATTCTTCTAGGCAATGAAGCTTAACCCTTGCACCTCGCTAGAATGTCACCTCAGAGCGTGGCGGCGCGCGGGCCCAGCTGTCCGCTCGAGTCTTTCATAGTCCCCGCCGCAGACGACACGAACATTTCGACGAGCGCTTCGGCGTTCGTGTTCACCGTGTAAAAGTTCCGCATCACCGTAACGCTCGAGTCCAGGCTCACCGCATAGTGCCACCAGCGTCTCGGATTGAGGACGACTTCACCCGGGGCGAGGATGCATGCATGAGGTTGGGCGTCGCAAAATCTCGGAAAACGCTCGAAATCCGGATCTAATGGATCGATAAGGGCGTGTGTTGGATCGTTCTGAATCACACCGAGCTTGTCACCGTCACTCGGCGGGAAAAAGACGAACAGCTTGCGGCCAACGACCTGGCCAAGATAGCCATGTGCGTCACCAGCATCAAAGTGAAGTCTCGTGATGGCACCTCTTGGACCGCAGAATACCTTATCGAGAGACTTTGAGACACCTTTAGCGAGAGTTTCGGAGATGTGCTCGTCGAATCGAAGGCGCTTACCGAGCTCGCTCGTGATAGATGCGACGAGCGCGTCAGTTTGATCGCACTCGCGAGCAAAGTATGGTCGAGGAAACGCTTTAGCGAGCGTTTCGGCGCTGTCGGACTCGCTGAACGCTCGTAATCCGTTTGCATAGAATGGAACGCGCTCGCGATCAAAACTTCGAGGCGAACACCCGTCACCGTCTCTCCTGTGGACATAGTCGACGTAGTCCCGAAACGCGAGCTGATGCGTGCGCTGCAACGGACCCTCCTCAGACCGTCTCGCCGGCGCGCGATCGTTACATCGAACGAAAAATGAATCGAGCTCAAGCTTGAAATCATCCATCGTCCAAGACGCCCAATTTCGTCCGCCGTCCTCGACGACGACCGGTTCGCCCTCGCCCAAGAGGAAAGACGCTTCCACCGTGTTCGGGTCTATTCCGGACACTCGACGAACCGCCACCGCCCCTCGAAGCGCTCCCCCCGTGGACGCAACGCGCGTCCAGTCTCCATACTCACCGACAATCTCAGCGCACCGATCGACGTGACGCAAGAACCCGTCGTACTCGGGCGTGGACCGACGCTCGGCGAACGCCTTTGCCGCCGCCGTCCCGCACAGGGTCTCAAAATCCACCCCCAGCGTCACCGGCGCCGACGCATCCCCATCCCCGTGATCCCATCCCATCCCGTGCGGGAACTGCACGACCGCACACTCGGGAAACGCCCCCCCGGACGCCCCGAAATCCCTCGCCTCGCTCGGTCTCCACGCTCGCGAATCCCCCGATTCCAAAACTTTTCCTCGCCTCCCGTACATCGGCACCGCCGTCGCCATCTCTCTCCCCGTCTATCGACCGCGTGATTTTTTCCCACCCTCGCCTCGACTCCTCGCCGCCGCGCCACCGTCGCGCGCGCGCGCGAGCGCCGGATCTCGTCGTCCCGCGCGAGCGTTTTATTCGTCCTCGATGACCGTTTCGTCGCCATCGCGCCCACCGGTCACGTCGCGCGCGCTCGACCGACACCGCGCCTTTGGATACATCGTCGCCAAAGGTGATCCACCTTTCGACGCGTCGCCGCCGTGACCGGTGGGCGCGGCGTCCCGATCGCCTCCATCCCGACGTCGACCTCGGTGCCCCGCGCGCGCGAGCGAACGGCGTCGGGTCGGCATGGCGACGATCGCGCGCGCGCGCGACGGCCCG